TGAGGCAGGTCCTGGCCGGCCCTGGCGCAGATGTGGTGGGCCCTGACCTGCCGGCCAGAGTGACCCACCGCGAGGCGAAGCCTCCACTGACCCTGAGGGTGTCCCTGTGACGGTGGTCGTCATGGTAACCGTGCACCAGCAGCTGGGCTGTGAAGCTGGGGCGCACCTGCCTGGCTCTGGCCACAGCTTGCTGGGGCAACGGGACCACCCACCCCAGTCTAGAGGGTGAGCTGGACACGTTCCCACCGCTCAGAGCCACTGTTAGCCGCGTGTCCCCGGACTTGTCCCCGTCAGTGGTGTCTCCTGGTCCGCTGCTGTCCTGGGCCCACGGGATGGTCTGGGAGCTCCAGACAAGGCCCGGAATGGGCTCTGCTTTACCAAAGTGTTGGTGCCCGAGCCTTGCGTTCGTAGGGGTGGCAGATGGGATTGGTTGGTGCTCGAGAGCCCGCTGGGTTGAAACGCAGGGCGTGGAGTAGGGCTGCACGTTTAAAACACCCACACACGTGTGTTTATTTATAGACACTATAACGATACCTAGTGTTTACAGCGAAGGTAGGTTGTGGTTTAGAAGCAGATGCCGTATGTATGTTTAGATCGTGTGTGTGTATCTGTGGATGGACTCGTCTGGGGGAGTTATATATCTGTGTGTAGATGCACATGTGTGATATGTGTGCATTTGTATGCATCTGCGTGTGTGTAGACATGCGTGGGTTTGCATTCATGTGGACTCTGTGCATGCCGAGGTCTCTGTACATGCGTGTGTGCATGTGTGTGTACGTCTATGGGGATCCTGTGGATGTGTGCATGTGCACGTGTGGGTGTGTACGTGTAAGTGTGCGTGCATAGAACTGTGTCTCTATGTGCATATGTGTTTACATGTGTGTGTGTGGATGTGGATGTGAGTATAAGTGAGTGTGCATGTGTGGATATAAGTGTGTGTGTGTGTAAATGTGTGGATGTGTGCACGTGTGGGTGTGTGCATGTAACTGTGTGGAAGTGTGGAAGTGTGCATGCATGTGCGTGGCCGTGAGTGTCTAAGTGTGTTCATGTGCATGCGTGCACACATGTGTGTATGATTGTGAGTCCTCGGGGGCTGTGCCCCGAGCATTTCTGCTGCCGGTGTCACCCCCACCAATGGAGAGGCTTTTAACTGCTTCTGAGACGCTCGAGTGTAGTGTTGTCATCCCCCCTTCGGTGCCTCCCCGATGTCCTTGAAGAAGTGACATTTGGGGCTGTTCCCGTGTCTTTCTGAACCTTCCTTTGCTTTTCCTCCTGGTTTCTGTCTCCTCTGCATTTCCTTTTCAATGTCTTTCCTTGCTCGCTGTGTGTCTATTTTCATTTCTTCTCTTACGTTGGTGGCCTTTTCCGTGGATTACGTAAGGTTCCGGCCCTAACGTGTCTCCTAAGGCTGAGTGCGCCACCCAGCTGGGGGTCGGCCGTGTGCGATGCTAAGGTGGTGGCCGCCGTGTGGACCGGTTTGCGTGCACAGACTCGTGGCACGATGTGGCCGCTGTGTGGACCACGCTGGCCCCGGGAGCCAGCGGTCACATGCACTCCTGCTGTCACGGCGGCTGTGCGGGCCCAGCACGGCGCTCTGCGTGTGCCGTCTCATGCGGGTTCAGAGCAGCTCCGCCGGCAAGGGTGTGTTTTCTCATCCTGCAGAGGAGTGTGCCCAGACTTGCGGAGGCTAAGGGCTGGTGTTCTCACTCGGGAAATCTGCAACACGGTAAATGCCACCCAATCCCATCAGCCCAGTGAGCGCTCCATGTCCTCAGGTTTGGTCTTTGTGTATCTTCTTTTCCCATATCGTTGTCATGTTGTCTGGATAGTTCTATTTTCTGCATTTTCCCATGGACGGGTCCACCAGTGCTGTAACTTGAGGTAGCTGCTCCTTTTCCCTGTGTGTGTGTGTGTGTGTGACTCTGTGTTCTCAGCACCGACATTTAGACTCCATGTTTTAAAAACGTTACTCCTCACGAGCATCTTTGTTCACGTAGACTGGATGTATGCTTCAGTTTTGTTGTTGAGAGAGCAAATACAATGTCGTTTCTCTCCCTGGGCGTGGGGGTCTTTTCCAAATAATGCTATGCCCCGTTTTATAAGTTACCCCCGATGACGCTCGGTTCTGAGGGGGGGGCCTGCCATCTGTGGGTGGGAAGGCTGAGGTGGGCCTGGTGGTCAGGGTTCTGGGGCACGGCCTCGGCGATGAGTCTGGCCCTCTTTCTCCGTCCCCCGCTGTCTGTTAGGTCTGCGCCTCCTGGCCGTTCAGTAACGCAGATGGCCGCTTTTCCACGTGTTCGCGTGCTTCTCCGTGGCGTGTGTGTTTGCATCCCTCCCGGTCTGTGCTCTCACTGTGCCCGTGGGTGCGAATGAGCCGCTCACTGTGGGGAGGCTGGTGCTTCTTTAGGAGGGATCCCTGTGTCCCTAGCTCTGTTTCTCTGGCCTTGCTTTTCTTTGTGTAAAAATGCAGTTGTTCCTATTTTCAAACATAGCAGTTATTTCTCTTGGTGGTTTCATCTGGTGCTTTGGGAACAGGAGGGTGAGTGCGGACAGGTCATTTCTGTGCGTCCCTGGCCGTCCCAAGACTGGCTGAGTCAGGACCTTGACCTGCACACCTTTCCTGTTGGAGCCTGTTGGTCTGTCACACGGCAACGGCTCTCTGGGCTGCCCCGTCCCCTGACCTCGGGGTCACTCCCTGCCTCCCGCCGGCCCGGCTGCTTTTAGCTCATGAAGCCCAGTCTCTGGGATGGCTCAGACGGGCTTGCTCAGACGGGCTTGGCCACCTCTCGGGGCCTCTCAAGTACCTGCAGGCACCTGGTGCCTCCCATTGTTTGGGGACCGGCCGGCAGGCCCAGGATAGCAGGAGGTGGCTGAGGCCAGCTGAGGGACACCCGACCGAACAGCCTGGTCACTGTCGGTGTGTGTTTTCATGTTTGACTCAGTTAGCAAAGAATCCAATTTAATAGCAGCTTCTAGGGCCTTTTCCATACCCTGAGCCCATAATAGGGCACCTGGTGATGTGTGAGAGGATATTGGTAGATGCACCCCGATTCCAGGAGGGGGTGCTGGGGCCACACCCCAATTCTGAGAAAGGGTCTGGGGGATATGCCCCAGTTCTGGGAGGGGGTCCTGATGGGATGCACCCTGATTCTGGGAGGGGTCTTGGTGGGTTGTGCCCTGATTCTGGGAGGGAGTCCTGGGGGGACGCACCCTGATTCTGGGAGGGGGTCCCGGAGGGATGTACCCTGATTCTGGGAGGGGTCTTGGTGTGTTGTGCCCTGATTCTGGGAGGAGGTCCTGGAGGGATGCACCCTGATTCTGGGAGGGGTCTTGGTGGGTTGTGCCCTGATTCTGGGAGGGAGTCCTGGGGGGACGCAACCTGATTCTGGGAGGGGGTCCTGGGGGACGCACCCTGACTGTGGGAGGAGGTCCTGGGGGACGCACCCTGCTTCTGGGAGGGGGTCCCGGGGGGGACATACCCTGATTTTGGGAGGGGGGGTCCCAAGGGGACATGCTTTGGTTCTGGGAGAGGATGCTGGGGTGTCTAGCTCTGGAATGACCACTGTGTGGTGGCAGGTGAGTCCACTGGCTTCTGCAGGAGGCGGCAGATGCTGGGAGGGGGTGGGTTTAGGAATGGGGTCCTGGGTGATGTGAGCTGGGGGAAGAGCATAAGCAGAGAAGCCGAGGCCCGGGTGCGTGGTGTGTGGTGGCCTTCGAGGCGGGTCCTTCATTTGTTGTGGCCTCAGCTGGAGGATATGGGAGATGAGGGAGGGGGGCAGGCACGCGGACACATGCGGGGGCTCCGACGGGTACGGGCAGGAAGGAGAAGGGGTCAGGCAGAGGTAAGAACTTGGAGGCAGGGGTGGGGGCCATGAGTGTGCACCCAGCAGGGCCGAGGTGGGAAGCTTCCTAGAGCAGGAGACGTTGTGTGGCAGAGTGCAAACCAGGTGCTTCAGCCTCCCCAGGGCTGTGCCCGCAGGACGGGCCTGGCTTGGGTGACACCTGCCAGCAGGCTTGAGGGCGGGGCGAGCAGGAGGGGAGAGCAGGGCCACCCTGAGATGCAAACGCCTAGGGTTAGAACCCTGCCTGTCCCAGCGGCAGGACAGGACACCTTGGGAGGCACGGCTCTGCTCCGGAATCTGGGGCTGGCGGGCTCTTGCCCACTGTTTGCAGATCTGATGCCAACACCTCCTTGCTCCACGTTGGTCAGTGCCGTTTCGGTGCGGGTTGCAGGGTGTTCGGTGCCTGAGATGCCCCCGGGGGGAGCTGCTAATCGCTCTCCTCCCCCCATGTCATTTAGAATGGACAGCCTTCTGTTTGCGGAGACAAATCTAGAAGAAAGTACAGCAGTTCTGCCCGCAGAACCTGAGTGTGTGTTCATCTCCTGCCCTGCTGGTGGAGCCACGGGGTCTGGGAGACAGTGGGCAGGGCTGTCTGCTGCATTGGACGCCTACTCTACTTCTAGAAGCTTCTCTGCCA